CACACACACATCTGCGGCGGCCACAAGATCTGCACGGCGAGCACCGCTAGCCATACATCGGAGGAAAGCTCTGGACGGTGATCACCGGTGGTGAGCACCAACTTCACCCCCCATCTGCGTCAATGACGGTAATGCCCTTTGTCCTCTCTGAAGCATCAATTTTCCTGCGATCGCATTCTATTTTATCATCGATTGTACGTTGCACACATTCGATTCAAGGTTAGACTTAGACTTTGGGATCTATTGAATCGATTCTGATAAGGGATTCGATGGTTTTCACATATACGGGGTACAAATTTCACTAGCACGAGGTGAATATATGAAAATGCAACTATCCCTGGATGGTTTTAGTAATTATTAATAACATATAGCTCATTGAATTAATACTATTTCAAGATGATCATTTCAGAAAGTTCAATGATTGGCATGACATGGATTAGCAATGTGGACCCCTCAAAATGCTAAGGACACACATTGGCTCAAGCTTAAGACTACTTTTTCATTTTAGTGATCCAAGATCACATTGAATCCATAGGAAAAGCCAATACTATTAAAAGGGGACAAGGTGTTGCTTAATGACTTGCTTGCTCAAATGCTTAGTGATATGCTTCAAAAGCGCTCAACCACTTTATCATATCCACATATGTCCCAAACCAAAAGTCAAACTCAGCCCCATCGAAATGTTCTATCGGGCGCCACTGAGTTTACTTGACATAGCCACTGCCAGAAACTCTAATCAATTCGGTCTCACCGATAGGGATCTCGGTGTCACCGAGATGGGATTGCAAACTCTCTGTTTCCCTTTGTAACGTTTCGGTTCAACCGAGATGAGCGATCGGTCCCACCGAGTTCGCAATACAAACTCTCTGTTTTCCTTTTGTAACGTTTTGGTCTCACCGAAATGAGCGATTCGGTCCCACCGAGTTTGCCTGACCAACTCTTTGGTTAGCCTATTACCAAATTCAGTCCCATCGAGTTTGTGTAATCGGTCTCACCGAGATTACGTTATGCCCTAACCCTAATAGAATCGGTTCCACCGAGTTGACATGTCGGTCCCACCGAAATGCCTAACGGTCACATTATGAACTGAATCGGTCTGACCGAGTTTTCTGATTCGGTCCCACCGAGTTTGGTAAATTGTGTGTAACAGTTAGATTTGTGGGGAAGCTATATATACCCCTCCACCCTTTCTTCATTAGTAAGGAGAGCCATCAGGACGATCCTACACTTCAGCATTCATTTTTTGGGAGAGAACCACATACTCATGTGTTGAGACCAAGATATTCCATTCCAACCACATGAATCTTGATCTCTAGCCTTCTTCAAGTTGCTTTTGACTCAAATCATCTTTCCACCAAATCCAAATCAGTGAGAGGGAGTTGAGTGTTCGGGAGACTATCATTTGAAGCACAAGAGCAAGGAGTTCATCATCAACACACCATCTATTACCTTTTGGAGAGTGGTGTCTCCTAGATTGGTTAGGTGTCACTTGGGAGCCTCTGACAAGATTGTGGAGTTGAACCAAGGAGTTTGTACGGGCAAGGAGATTGCCTACTTCATGAAGATCTACCCTAGCGAGGCAAGTCCTTCGTGGGTGATGGCCATGGTGGGATAGACAAGGTTGCTTCTTCGTGGACCCTTCGTGGGTGGAGCCCTCCGTGGACTTGCGCAACCGTTACCCTTCGTGGGTTGAAGTCTCCATCAACGTGGATGTACGATAGCACCACCTATCAGAACCACGCCAAAAATCTCCGTGTCTACATTGCGTTTGCTCCCTCCAAACTCCTCCCTTTACCTTCATATGCAAATGTTTTACATTCCGCTGTTATACTCTTAGACTTGCACATGTAGGTTGATTGCTTGACTTGTGCTAAGTTGCTAAAATCTGCCAAGACTTAAAATTGAGAAAAGGCTAGATTTTTTTTGGTCAAGTAGTCTAATCACCCCCCTCTAGACATACTTTCGACCCTACAAGTGGTATCAGCGCTTTGGTCTCCATTTTCCTTTATTTCCATAGCTTTTGGTGATCATAGCCTTGGTTTCACAACCTAGGTGAGTATGGCGTCTAGCGAGGGAAATTACCACCGTAGAGGTCCTTACTTTGATGGTACTAATTTTGCTAGTTGGAAGCATAAGATGATAAATGCATATTCTTGGACATAACCCCGCCGTTTGGGCTATTGTGTATATTGGCTTGCAAGGTGAATTCTTTGATGGGAGAGAACCAAACTGTGAAGCCACCGCGGAAGAGTTGAAGATGTTGCAATACAATGCTCAAGCTTGCGATATCCTCTTCAACGTATTGTGCCCCGAAGAATTCAATAAAATCAGTCGTCTTGAGAATGCAAAGAAAATTTGGGATACTTTGATTGATATGCACGAAGGTACCGACTCCGTCAAGGAATCCAAATTGGATGTGCTTCAAAGTTAACTTGACAAGTTCAAAATGAAGGATGGTGAAGGTGTCGCTGAAATGTACTCTAGGCTTGCTCTCATCACAAATGAGATTTCCGGCTTAGGAAGTGAAGAGATGACCGATAGATTCATCAGCAAGAAGATCCTAAGAGCCTTGGATGGAAAATATGATACCGTGTGCACATTGATCCAAATGATGCCCAACTACAAAGATCTGAAACCAACGGAAGTCATTGGAAGAATTGTTGCTTATGAGATGTCACTCAAGGATATGGAAGAGCTTCACAACAAGTCAAGTGGTGCTTACAAAGCCTCATGTGATGCTCCTACATCATCAAGTGAGAAACAAGCCTTCAATGAAGAATTGAGCCTAATGGTGAAGAACTTCAACAAGTTCTACAAGAGTAGAAGCAAGGAAAGAAGTTCCTAGTCAAGGTCCTACAATGACAAAAGATCTTCGAGTCGTGAACGTAATTGCTACAATTGTGGAAGACCCGGACACTACTCCAATGAGTGTACGGCTCCATACAAAAGAAGAGAAGATTCACCCGAAAGGAGAAGTAGAAGAAAAGAATCACCACCAAGAGAGAGAAGGAGTAGAGATGACCGTTATGAACGAAGAACATCACGGAGAAGCAAGGATTCGGAAAGGAAGGACAAATCATCAAGGAGCAACACAAAACGAAGACATCAAGCTCATGTTGGTGAATGGGTATCCGGCTCCGACTCCGACAATCACTCCGAGAGAAGTTATCACTCCGACTCCGAATATACTCAAGATGAAGGTGTTGCCGGTCTAACACTTGTGTTAACCAACTCCTACGACATATTTGACTCACCAAATGAAGGAATTGGAAGATGCTTCATGGCTAAAGGTCCAAAGGTATCACACCCCGAGTATGTTGATTTCAATAGTGATGAAGATGATTTGTTAGGTGATGATGATCTACTTGTTGACAACTCTAGTGATGAAAACTATGATGAACTTGCTATTAATCATGCTAATCAAGATAAAACGAATGATGATGATAAGAAGGAAATTGAGCGTCTAACTAAAGAACTAAACACTCTTAAGTTAGCTCATGAAACTACCTTGGAAAATCATCGAGAGATTTTAAAGACTCATGAGAAGTTACGCTTTGAAAAGCTCAACCTTGAGCAAGAGCATGGGTTCTTAAAGGCCAGCAATGATGATGTTCGCAAGAATTTTTTTCTTACATTGCCAAGCATTTACTCTTGTCTACTTACATGCCACAAGTTAAATCTAGCAGCAAGAGTAAGAAATATTCTTCTTCTAGTAGTAACAACAATCATGTTAAATCCAATATTTTTGCTTCTACTAGTTCTCTTGATTCCACTAATGATTCTCTTAGCCAAGTTACACTTGAGCAAGAAAATAGCTTATTGAAGGGAATTATAGAGAAAGGTGTCTACAAGAGTCTTGCCGGAAGTAAGCAATTTGAGGAAATTGTACGCAAGCAAGGAAGGCACCGGAAGAATCAAGGTATTGGTTTTGAACGGAAGTTCAATGTCAACGGAGTTTAGTGGGAAGAAGATCAATACCCCAAGACGAAGTTTGTTCCTCAACAAGAGAAGTATGATCCTACTTCCTTCCAAGGCACACAAACTCAAAATGATCTTCCACCACAAGACCACAAGCAAAAAGGCAAGGACAAGCTTCAAGAGGAGATTGATGCATTTGAAGAAGCTCCCAAGGCCTTGGTCAAGTGGGTTCCCAAGACTACATCAAGTTCTACTTCATCAAGTGAGACTACAACTCCAAGGATTCCCATCAAGATGATGTGGATCCCAAAGAAGAAGAACTAGAGATTTCTTGAGGGTGACTCCGCCAACATACTTCACTCATATCACTTTGGCGAGAACGAGTGTAAACAACTTCCACATCTTGCACTAGTTCAAGGAGTCACAAACCCTCTTGTTGGTAAGACAAGGGACAAGGTAACCTAATGCTTTCATGGACATCATCTTGTGTGTACATCACTCTATGTCTATGGATATTTTTGTTTGTTCCTTGTGGGACTAACCCG